AAGACTTTTCTTAACCTAGGAGCTACATCATGAAAGAAGGGAACTTAGAAACACTCCAAAATTTAGTGGTACACAATCAGAAAAACCTTCCATGTAATCCCACTGTCTGTCCTTATCCCTGTATTTCTTGGAAAACTGTTGATCTTAGAAAAGTTCAGACCCTTCTCTTATGCATCAGATCTCCTTCCCTTGCTTCTACTCAAGGACATATCTCCACCGTCTCCTCTCACCTGAATTATTGTCAAAGCCCACAAGTTGTCTCCCCACTTACGCCCTTGGCACTGTTACCCACAGTTTGTTTTCCATGAATCTGACAGTTATCTCTTAAAAATGAAAGTAGGATCGTACCATTTTAGCTCAGCTAGAGTAGATTAAGCCATTATAGCAGACAACAAGCCCACATTTTAGTGGTTCTTGACACAGGATATGTATTAAAATCACCTTGAAAGATTAAAAGGCCAGTTATCTGGGCCTCGTAGTCAGAGATCCTAAATTAACAAGTCTTAGTGAATATTAAAAAAAAATATCTTCTTAAGTAAGTCTAAAGGACCACCTGAATTGAGAACAACCGTAACGCGTCATCTAATCCCACTGTATCTTTGAACTAATGTATTCTCCTGGTTCATTCTGCTTCAGTCCCATTAGGTTTCTTTGCTATTTGTAAAACATATCAAACATTTGCTCACCTTTGAGTCTTTTCATTTGCTTAATTTTTTCCCTTAACTTTATTACATTAGGACATGGTATATGCTTGACTTGCTTATTTTCTGGCATAATCCAGTAGAATACAAGCTCAGGAGAGATGAGATTGTTTTCCTGTTTTTGTCACTGATATGTTCCCACCTCTAGGGCAATTTCTTCTCTTTAATTGGCTGTCAATAAATATTTGTTGAATAAGTGGTCTACTTTATAATCTTTAGTCCAGGACAAATACATGAAATACATAAAGACTTTTTCTTTAAAAGATGAGCTTAGGAGAGTGGAGATGGAAACATTTTTTTTTTTAATGTACTGATCTGAGTCATCAGTTGAATATCCATGTGAAGATGTTCACCAAGAAGATAAAAATACGACTTTGTAGTTCATGAGTGAAGCCAGGGGTTTAGGCACAATTTTGTAAGCTCTCCAATTAGAGTTGACAGCTAGAGCTACAGGAGTGGATTAGAGTTGCAGTGGAAAGTGTTTAGGGGGGAAAGAGTGATTGAGTTAGAAAAAGAACACCAGCATTCACAAGAAGTGAAAGGGAAACATGAAACTGTAAAGCCAGACAAGAGGTCCAGCGGAAGCCCACTGAGAAGAGCTTTCTGCGTGAAATGCAAGGGCTTACTCTAGGTCCCTGATCAGAGCTCTCTACTCAGCCTGTCTCATTGATCCCTCTACCTTCTCATGATCACTGAATGTAGATGCTAGGAAGGATCTCAAGTGTGATCCTTGTCCTCATCATGATGCCGTATGAGGTAAATGAAGCCAACAGAGGCTTCAATGTCTCTGCATCAACAAGGGACTAACAAATAGTCTCCTTTGTATTACTCAGGTGAGATCTGTGACTGCACCATGTGAATTTATGCTGTACTTTGAGTTCCTGTGAGGTAATAATACTACTTTGTATTCAAAATGGAGTTTAACTGATAATGATAAGCATCTGCAAAGACTTCACAGCACCCTCAGCAGCAGGGAAATATGGAGTGGAAGGTGCTAAAACTGTAATTAGAACAAGGCATCTGTCTCCCAGCTCCTACAGAGCAGCTACTAATCAATGTGATCACTCGCTTTGAGTAAGGAAGTGCTCACCCATGGTTCTGCTGGACCCCTTCCCAGCCACTAGCAGACTGGATGCTGGTGGAAGGCACCCTTAGCTTGGAGAGACAGAAGAAAGTATTACTGCTTAAGAAATGTAGCAGTTTACTTTTAAAAAGGTGTTTGGTAGGGGCATGAGCTGATTTACATTTCCTGTAGACTGCATATTTGCAGAACAATCTGGAGACCAATTATTACTAAAAGTATGGTTCACTCTGAAGCATTTGCAGACTGATTACCCAGAACTTTTGATTTCTCCTCCCATATGTTTACTTGCCCTTAGGAATTTTGCTCTTTAGGCAGGTTTATCAAGGAAGATAAAGAAGACTTCATGCAATCATAGAAACTTTCTATCTATTACCAATTCTGATTTAAGCACCATTTATCAATGTATCATCTATAAAATTCTTCTCTGAGAATCTTCTTGGGGAAAAAAAAGGTGTTTAAACCCAATACATTGGAGAAATGTTGCATATCATATCCCCCTTCTTAGAAATTCACAATGCACACTAGGGTATTAAAGGCTTCTAGCTGTCCTACAATAAAGAAACTGTTTTAAACTCTGTTGAACCCAGCATTTCCCAAACTTATTTCTCTAGAGAGTTTTTTTCCTTCTTCTTTTCTTTTTTTTTTCAGGACATAAAACAGAATTAATGTTCCAAAGAAAAGACTTTAGTAAAACTAGATTAAATATTTCTTATCATTGACATTTAAATTATGCCTAAAATGAGGCAGAGAGATTTCCTGAGAATTTCTTCATCTTCATTCTCTATTACCACTGATAACTGCGCATTATGTAATCATTCAGGATAAGTGGGCCAGGATCCCAGCTCATTCTTCTTCTCAAAAGAATAAAAATATAAGTCAGTTCTTTTATCGTAATGATCAGCCAACTTAAAAGTTGACTCCTATTCTTGTCCAGTTTAGCTCCAGCAGACATATTTCTAGCTTATGGTCTGTGTCCCCAACAGATGCCAATGCCCTGTGCCTCTGAGAACTCCACTTGCAGGCTGAGACTGTCTTCTTCTTGTTCGAATCTTCACAGTGGAGGATGGTCAGGAGCCAACGGTGTTTAGAATAATCTCCTAAGAAGCTGAAAAGAAAGCTTTACTCACCAGTGCATTAGGCTGTAATGATTTAAGAGGCAGAAATAAACAATGTAGCATATTATCCATTTCTATAAAGAATAAACGTGTGAATAACTGCAAAGTATAAAAGATTAAACATGCTGACAACGTAGGTAGTGGAAAAAATCCGATCATTGACTACTGTAACATTAATTGTCAGACTGCACATAATAAAATGCTAATGAAGAAAATAGACATTTCTGAAGTATAAAAATCATATGGCCCAAGAAATAATCAGTTGCTATGAAAGCTAAGAAAACTTGGGGAAGCCAGCAGAAATATACAGGCATTCAATGAAGAGGGCCAGAGGAAAAAAAAAAAAACACAGGAAACTCACCAAATGATTAGGAAGTTTATGTTTTATACCTGAAAATTAAGTTATAAAGATATAAAATCCTTTTTGCCTTAGTAAAGATTATGGCTGGCAGGACCCTCCTTTTGTTTTGCCAGCTGAAGCGATATTTGGGCTGCAGAAGTAAAGTTCAGCCTTATTACCCACTTTTTAGATGATCTGGAGACATAAAATGTCCTGGAGATGATTTAGAGGGTATGTGTGTGTGAGTGTGAGGAGGTGAGGAGGAAGGAAAGAAGAGAAATCTAGAAGGTTTGCGATGACTAAAAGACCAAAGCATGTATCTGTAAGTATGATTGGCCGTAACTCTCCCTTCTCAACGTCCTGAAGGGCTTTCAGAAAACAAACATTCTCAATGCTTGGTTTCTGCAGTTGGACACACGTTTTCATTTAATGGAATGATACACAGTGGAAGAAAGAAGATTGAGCCATTTGGTTTTTGCCTAAATATGAAACAATAGTAAGTGAATTAAGCGAGTTTTGCTATTTAACAGACATAAGGAGCAGTGAAAAAGAATTAATGTTTTGGTGCAAGAGATACTGTTATAAAGAAAATTTATCTGCATTCTACCTTCAAAAATACAGATTACTATTGTTTGGATGTCAAACATATGTATTTTCATTCACTTTAATTCGAATTTAGTGAAGAAAGTTTACACCAAGACTGTTCCATCTAAAGTTCTCATACTACTGGTAGGTGCTTATGGGTAAACTCAAGGTGTTAGATATTCAATCACATTGTCCATAGAATCTAACATCTTTCAGAACAAACTTGTTTGGGCAGGGCTGCCTAATTTTGTTGATCATTCTTCTACATTCATAGTCAATCTCTTACAGAATGGTAACTGTTTTGGTCAACGTTCTCCAGAGAAATGGAACAATTAGGGTGTGTGTGTGTGTGTGTGTGTGTGTACAGATAGAGAGACAAAGAGACAGACAGAGATTTATTTTAAGGAATTGGCTTAAGCAGTTATAAAGGCTGGAATGTCAAAAATCTGTAAGGTAAGCCAGCCAAAAGAACCAATGGTACAGTTCAAGTGCAAAGGTGTCTGTTATAATGACAAGGGTTAAATGGGTTTTAAAAAAGGCAAAAAGATGGTGGTGATGTAATTGACAGAAACAATTGTAGAAAAGGAAAGCTGTCTATAATCAAGGCAAGATGAAACAGTAAGTTTTGGCATTGAAACATCTCAGTGAGAGGGTTTTTTCCATATTTGGTATTGTATATATTTAAAGAACAATGCTAAAATTATTACACATACACACACGGTGGTCTTACAAATAATGACAAATGCGACTAAAAAAAAGCTATTTATAAATAAGAACCACACACGTGCTTTTTAGGCTGCTGATTCACTTGTTTTACTTGAACAACACATCATATGTTCCTTTATTTTCCAATCATACTCCTGAGAAGAAATTTTACATGTTACCCTGGGCTCATAAAAATCTAAGATAAATTCGAGATCTAAGTAAATAGGATTGAAGTGTCACCTTGCCAGTTGAAAGTGGGATTGTGTGAATTTTTCCACCATTTCAATAAATGCTGTCAAAAACATTCCACTTTGATATTCTTAAACCTAAAAAATTTAAGTTCGGTTACTGTTTTTGCAAAGATCGTATGTGTTGCCTCTAGAAACATTCTCTGTTCTTCTTTCTTCAATTCAACCCTGGTCTCCAAAGGATGTCTATATTATTCTCAAAAGTTGTTCCTCTTGCTTTAGACTCTCCAACAGTTAGGGTGTCCGCAGCCGGGCCCAGTAGCTACTTGTTCTAAATCCGTTCAAAATCCTTCCACCCTAACTGCTGGCACGGCCAAGTCCGGTGCCAATCAGATAGCCCATTGTTCTTGGTAGCTCATACAGCTGCTCATCAAATGCACAGCTGTGGCACTGACCTTTAATAATATTATTCACAGAATCAGCCTCATTTTATGAAACAGGCACATCCTCGTTTAAAATTCCCAAGGATCTCCTATTGGCTTTGTAACTGAGTCTGTATTTTGTTAAACAGTCCAGGAAGTTTTTTGTATCAACAATCAAATATTAGTGAAACTTGTCTAGGACTTTGTACCATGACAGCTAATATAACCAGGATCAGTAATGGTCTTTCTGCACTATGAAATTCTGGCAAAGTAAAACAGAAGGGGCTTAAACGATTTGAGGCAATGTTCATATGTTGTGGTCTCAGCCTTCCTGGGGAAATAGACAATTAATATTAGGAGGTTTGTTTAAGATATGGTTTGAAACAAAATAAAATAAGACTGTTTTTTTGAAACAAGGGAATGTTAGGCAAGTGAGCATCTATCATTGTTTAGGTCATGTTTTTAGATATTTTGAGGCCTATTTTATAACTTCATAAGAATTGTGTGCAGTGTTTTCTTTTTTTCTAGTAACATGACTATTCAAAAATTACAAATTCCTAAGGAGATGGGGTCTGGCACCTCCTTTTTTTTAAATTTTACTTTTAAATTGTCATACTTTAAAATGGTCTTTTTTTTCTGATGTAGAATTGTATGAGTTTTAATACATGCATAGATTTGTATAACCACCACAATCGGAGACAAAACTCTTACATCACCGTCAAAAGCTCCTTCATGCTACTTAGGTATAGTGACATTTCCCTCCATGTGTCTACCCTTAAGCCTCTTTCTATACTTCTGTGTTCTTTGAGAATGTCATACAAATAAACTTATAAATGATAAAACAGATATGACCTTTTGGGATTGGTCTTTTTCACCTAGCATAATGCCTTTGAGATGTATCAATACCTTATCCCTTTCTATAAATGAATAGCATTCCACATATGACTTTACCACATGTTTTTCCCCCATTCAACCCATTTGGGTTGTTTCCAGCTTGGGATGATTATAAATAGCATGGCTGTTAAAATTTTATGTGCCCATTTTTGTGTGAACATGTTTTCATTTCTCTAAACACCCAAGAACAGTGATCTTGTAAGGGTGTCTCTAACTGTATAAAACACTGCCAGACTAGCTCTAGGGGAGTGGTATCATTGCTGGTTGGCCAACAATGTATAAGCATTCTAGTATCCTCTGTATCCTCATCTTGATATTATCAAGCAATACTTTGGTATTATCCAGATGAACCAACCTAATATGTGTATAATTTTATCATCTGGGGGTTCTAATTAGCACATCTATTTACTATTAACATTAATAGTTAATGATGTTGAACAACTTTACATGTGCTCACTAGCCATCCCTATAATCTTAGATAAGGTATCTGTTCAAGACTTTTGCTCATTTAAAAATTATATTGTATGCTTTCTTATTTTGAGAGTGCTTTATATGGTTTTCGGAGGTGTCCTTAAATGATTTATAGTTTGCAAATATTTTCAGTCTGTAGCTTGTATTTTCATTTTCTCAATAATGTGTTTCACAGAGCAGACTTTTTTTTTTTAATAAGCCATTTTATTATTTTTTTCTTTTCTTTTTCATTTTGCGGGTTGAACTTTTGGTTATAGATCTAAGATTCATGTGTCTAATCCCATGTCATGAAGATATTTTCATTTTTTTACCCAAAAGTTTTGTGGTTTTATATTTTCTATTCACACCTATGATCCACTTAGAGTAAATTTTGTGTGTAAGGTATGAGATATTTCGGTTGAAGTTTTCTTTCTTTCTTTCTTTCTTTCTTTCTTTCTTTCTTTCTTCCTTCCTTCCTTCCTTCTTTTCTTGATTCACTGTGATTTTCTACATGGAGCATTTTATTTCCTTAATTTACTTCAGACTCCAATTACACATATTTATATGTTCTGATACTGTCCACAGGTCACCAAGACCTTGTTTGGCTTTGCTTTCTTTTACCCCTTCTCTTCATTTTGGATAACTTCTGTTGATTTAATTTTAAGTTAGTGATGCTTACTTTGGTTATCTTCAGTCTTTGGTTAAGCCCATCTAATAATGTTTTTTTCAGATATGATATATATCTTTACATTTTACATTGTACATATTGTGCAGCATTTACTGTGTTTATTTATATTATGTTGCCTTATTGTCATTGAGATTTAGCATTTGGTCATTCATTAGGACTATATATATTTTTTACTGTCTTTGAATATTTTTTCAAGACTGTATAAATAATTCCACTATTTAAGTAATTTCAGTGTTGATCTCTAATTGTTGTTTTCTTTTTAACTACAGGTCATATTTTTTTCTAGTCATTAAAAAATTTTTTTTTCAACGTTTTTTATTTATTTTGGGACAGAGAGAGACAGAGCATGAACGGGGGAGGGGCAGAGAGAGAGGGAGACACAGAATCGGAAACAGGCTCCAGGCTCCGAGCCATCAGCCCAGAGCCCGACGCGGGGCTCGAACTCACGGACCGCGAGATCGTGACCTGGCTGAAGTCGGACGCTTAACCAACTGCGCCACCCAGGCGCCCCTAGTCATTTTAGATTGTATTGTAGACATTGAGATGAATATTGGTAGGAACTATGGATTTTGCGATCTTCTGAAAATTATTAATTTTTGTCCTAGATGGCAGTTAGCCTGTCTGGAAACACGTTCCAAATGACGTCTCTTCAGGAGAGGGGAGGCTGAAATTTGTGTTATATTCTTTCCAATAGTTGCTTCCCATTGAAACTCTGGGCATGAAGTTCAGGGGTCAGTGCAGCATCAGGTCAGGATTTATGTATAGATTTTGGAGGTTCATACAATATCTCTTGGTTTTCTAGAATCTTCTTCTTCTTCTTCTTCTTCTTCTTCTTCTTCTTCTTCTTCTCCTTCTTCTTCTTGTTCTTCTTTTTGTGCACTCTGGTAACCACAAAATTTATCCACTGACTTCTCAGGCTAGTAAGGCCATGGCTTTCTGCTTGAACTTCAGCCACCTAGCATAGTATCTATGGGAGAGTGCCATCTGGTGAAAAGCTGCATAACACAAATCCCATCCAATGCATTTCCCGTAAGTATTGACTCCCTCCAGTTTCTGTCTGCTTTTGGCTTCTCTCTAACTGCTTCAAATATGTTTTTAAAAATATTGTTCCAGAATTTAAAATTGTTAATTGTAGAATAATTAGTCTAGTACAAACCATGCCATTACCAGAAGCCGATGTTCAAAGGGTCATTTTTGAAATGATTAAAGTACAAAGACTAGAGTTGTTTGCTTGGGGAAACTTTAATGAAGCTACTTTGTGGAAGAAAAAAACAGCATAATTATAGTGTAGTGAGTCTGGGCATAATGATGCCAGATAAGTTCAGAGAATTAAGTCATCATTAACATTTTGATAAAGAAAGTCAAGCTAAGGAGTATTTAAAGTAAGGAACAATTTTATTTCACTTACATTTTAAAGGATCACTTTAGTTACTACACAGAAAGTGAAAGGTACATAGAAAGAATGAAAACAAAGTTATCAGTTAGTCCTTATGAGAGATGGTTGCAGTACAATCTATTTAGGACATAATTTGGAGGCTGGAGGTAACTAGCTGATGGCTTGGATGTGGGAATGTATATGGGCATGAATTAAAGGTGTTCCTAGGATTTGGTCTGAGTCACTAGATATCTCCTAGGAATTTTAATTGAAACCGAGAAGACTTTAGGGACAAAAGAAATGTGAAGAAATTTTCAGGCTGCTACTTTAGACATCTTAAGTTTGAGATACCTATTTGATACTCAAGGAATGATATCCCACAGATAGTTTTATATAAGTCTGTAGGTGAGTGAGCAAATTAAGGTTGAGATATAAAGTTGGTAGCTATTACACAGAAAGACTATTTAAAAATCATGAAACTGAAGTAGAGAGAGAGTAGAGATAAAGAGAGAAGGGAGAGAGAAAGAGAGAGAGAGAGAGAGAGAAAGAGAGAACATGGGTTTGAGTCAAGCCCTGGAATGTTCCAACACTTAGAAGTAAAGCAAAAGAGTTCTAGAAGGAGTGGCCAGTTAGATGGATGGCCAATCAAAAGAGTGTGATATCATAAAATATGGAAAAAAAAATTTCAAAAACCTACATGTTGGAAAATTGCAAATATTGCTCAGAGGAAGCTGAACATGATGAAATGGATATTATACTCAGTACCAGGGGAATCATTTGTGATTTTCACAAGTGTATTTTCATGTAACGAGGGGGCAAATCTTAGTTTTCATATTTAAGAATGAACAAGCATTGAGGAAGATGAGCTGGATAATATCAATGAACTTATTTTGAGAAGTTTCAGTGTGGAAGGTAGCACTAAAAGGCGGAATTAGCTGGAGCCGTGATAGGAGGGTAAAGAGGGTTTTTTGTTGTTGTTGTTTTCTTTTGTTTAGGTACTACAAGATCCTGTCTGAGACAAATAAGTGTGATTTAATTGAAATTTATTGAGCATTAAGTGAATAATAAACATATAAAATTAACATAATAAAATTAAACAAAAAACAATCTAATTGTAGAGTGGAATAGTGGTTGCCAGGGGCTGGGTGGTGGAGAAAATGGGGACATGTTGGTCAAGGGTATAGACTTTCAGCTTTGGTTAGTCATTTCTGCGCATCTAAGGTATAATATAGTGATTATAGTTAATATTACTGTATTGTACACTTGAAATTTGCTAAGAGAGTAAATTTAAAGTGTCCTTGCCAAACACAAAAAATTGTTAACTATGTGAGGTTCTAGTGTGTTAGTTTGTCATAATCATTTCATAATGTATACAAATATCAACTCATCAGCTGTATACTTTAAATACATGCGATCTTTTCGATTATACCTCAATAAAGCTCAAAAAACCTCAAAAAACAAAAAGAAAACATCAGGGGCAGGGCGCCGTGTGGCTCAGTCGGTTAAGCTTCCGACTCTTGGTTTCGGCTCAGGTCGTGATCTGATGGTTCATGAGTTCAAACACCACATCTGGCTCTGTGC